ATGCTGCACATATGGCTCAATAGCTTTCATTCTCTTAGCTGCATTTGTGAATATCTGCCACAACATTATCTTTTATTATGCAGGTAGTCCTCGCTTAATGACTGTTCATTTAACAATGGTCTGGAGTTACGATAGCCTTGGGAAAAATGTTTTATGACCCCTGTGGTCACAATTGCAATTTGTGACTCTTTTTACGATGGTTGTTAAGCAAATCACATGGTCATTAAGCAAATTCTGGCAAAAAAATGTCCATTGGGAAAGCTAGATTCGCTTAATGACCATGTGATTCACTTAATGACTACATGATTCACTTAATGACTGTGATTTGTTTAGTGACCATCATAAAAAAGGTCATAAAATCAGCTCCGATTTGCTTAACAACCAATTTGCTTAGTGACCTAAATTCCAGTCCCTATTGTGGTTGGAAAGCAAGGACTACCTGTATCTCTCAAAGTTTAGAAGTCTTATATGAAGAGATACACCCTCCAGCCATATATTTCCTTCTAATGTATATGACTTACTTGCATAATAGGACAGTTAGTTTCTGTCTGTCCTTGAAATCTTTTCCATTTTTACTAGACTGCCATAGGGGCTGAGGGCACATCCTCTTGCTGCATTTGCACATCACCCCAATAGCTTAAAACTGACTCCTCTTTATATAATCCTCTTTAATGTGGATTCACCCACCACACAGGATATCTACTTCTTTTCTGTTTCTTGGCTTTAAAAAATCACACTATCACACTGCATATTTTGTCTTCTGACTTTCTTTTGAAAAATTATTTTAATTGGCAAAGGACAGGGAGCCATGCAATAGCTGCTGTAAATGTCTGCATTAATTTGTCAAGGATCCAGGATGCCTCCTGTTGCCAATGGCAAATCAATGGGCTTGCCCATCAGATTGTTGACAAAATTTCCAAGTGCCTGCTGGAAACCATCTAGATCCATGAAGTGCCTGGGTCTAGCCCTGTGGAGATTAGGGTGATCATCAATTGCACCTGGCCCAGGAAATGTTCTGACCATGACAAAGGAGTGATGAATAAAACTGAAGCATATGGGAAACTGTGAAATTGCAGTTTGCAGCAAAGAAATTTCCTGAAAGACAGGGCATTTACACATGGAGTTTGGCCACTTTGTATATAAACATGGCAACAGCACACTCAGGAAAGAGAAGAGAACCACCAGCATCAAGGTGGATAAACTCAGTTACAGTGGTGATGGAGGCACTGTTGGAAGAGCTGAAGGACCAAGTTAGGGACAAATCATCATGGAGAAAATCTATCTATGTGGTTGCTAAGAGTTGACAGTGACTTAATGCAAATCAATCAATCAATCAATCAATCAATCAATCAATCAATCAATCAATCCCATGTTCTACATTTGCTTCTTGAGAAATTTTAGAAGCATCTTCTCTTTCATCAAATTGTGCATGTGGATCCCAAAGATCCCTCTGGTTCTCAGTGGCAGTCTGCATGAAATGGCACAAGAGATGCCTAGAGCATTACTGGAGGAAGACAAAGAGAGATTGAATTGAGCACAGATAAGAGCCTTTATTAGGGATTACCTTGTGGCAACGAGGGTGTTGAAATGCACTTATTTCTCTGCTCTTATTGTGTCCATGGAGAGCTGGCTGGTGATCCTATTCCAGATGACTCATCCCTCCTTGGTAAGCAAGGGCCTGGAGGACTTCTGCAAGGTTGTTTTGAGGACTCTTCTAGGCATCCGTTGGATAACATTGCTCAGATTCACTCAGAATTAGATTCTGGCTGGGCAAGTCCTATGGAATTGACTGAGGTATGGCCTTGTCCAATTATCTGGGGAGAGTTTGAGCTTGTCAGTCCTGAGGAGGTGGACAGGGTCCTTGGGGCTTTGAGTCTCGCCATCTGTGTTTTAGATCCATATTCCTCCTGGCTGGTTAAGGTCTCCAGGAGTTGGATCCAAGCAATGGTGAACACTTCTTTGCAAAAGGGGATGGTTCCATCTGCTTTGAAGGAAGCAGTAGTTCACTCTCAAAAAGCCATTGGTGGATCAGTGGTACCAGATAATTTTCATAGTGTCTCTAACCTTCCCTTTTTTAGAGAAGGTTGTTGAGAAGGTGATAGGCTTGCAGCTCCAAAGGGCCCTGGATGAAACAACTTATTTAGACCCTCAAGACAGTTTTCAGGCTGGATTATACTACTAAGACGGCATTGATTGCACTTGTGGATGACCTATGGTGGGATGGAGATAATATATCTGTCCTAGCCCTCCTTGATCTCTTGGTAGCTTTCAATACCATTGATCATAGTATCCTTCTGAACTGCCTCAGAGGTTTTGGAGTGGGGGATATGGGGTTGTGGTGGTTCTCCTCCTTCCTCTGGGGTTGGTTCCAGTTGGTATTGGTAGAGAAGGAGAGGTTGAGTCCTAGGCCTCAGTCTTACAGGATCCCTCTGGGCTCAATTCTCTCCCCACTCCTATTTAACATGTATAGGGCAAGATCATTCATTGGCAAGGAGTTAAGCATCATCAGTATGTTAATGATACTCAGTTATACATCTCTGTTCTGGGCTATCCAAGTAGTGCTGCCAAGTTTCTTTCCCAGTGCCTGGAGGCTGTGAGGCTCTGAATGGCAAAGAATAGGCTGTGACTCAACTCTAGCAAGACCAAAGGGCTGTAGGTCTTAAAGTTCCCTTGATCTGGATCTGATTTTTCCATTTTTAACTGAGAAACACTTCATGAGGAGCTTTGGTTATTTTTAATTATATGTTGCCTTATAGACAGAAAAAAATGCTGGAGGATTTTTCTGCATCATATTTCCCAGGCCATTTGGGGACGGACACACATTTTCTCCCCAACAGATGAAAACATAGGGTGGTGAATTGGAAAATGGGAGCAGCAGTAAAAAGAGTGAAACATGCTTTCTTTATACTCTTTTTCTCTGTTCAGAGAGGCAACCTGTTCAAGCTGCTATGGTTTAAAATAAAATGCAGGAAAGCATGTGTAACTTCTATTGGATTTGTTCATGGAATCTGAGCTAGCAGCCATCCTCTTAACCTAAATCCACTTATCATTATCAGACTGAATTTTGTTGATTTTGAACAAGTAATTTGGTTCTCCTGTCCACAGGAATTGCTAAATCAATGACTGCAATAAAGAAATCACAGAATTATTTCCAGTGGCTTCATATAAATGTTAAATACCGTAACAGAAGGTTCCTCAAAAGCTCTGGAGAGGGGGAGCCAATTCAATGCTATTTACAGAGAGTGCCCTGAGAGAAGCAAAATTACTTACAAAGAATTACTTCCACCCCCAGCTCCTTAAGCACTTCAATAGAATACAGTAGTTAATAGTATTGAAAACTGCTGTTAGATCAAGTAGTATAAGGTCATACTACCCTCATGTCTGTCCATCAGGTAACCAAACTATCTCTGTACCAAAGCTGAGTCTAACCTCAGAATAGTTGTCCACAGGATCCAACTCTTTAATCAAAATGACAAAAGCAGCATCATGCTGTCAGGTGTCAAGTTCTGACTATTTTGTATGTGTATATGACATCATAAGGCATGCACAGAAAGGGCAGAACTGATGGCGTGATGCCGCTTTTGACCCCCCCCCCATCCCAACATGCATACACATTCTTTTTTCAACAAAATGATTGTTAACTATCTTCTCTATTAGCTTGGATAAATATGAATATTGGACATCAGCCAATACTGACTACTGGTCTTATAAGCAAGAATCTCACCAACGTTAATGGGGAAGAGATAAAAATAATCTTGAAACTCATTGGCAGGCCAGAGTCCTTTGAAATTCTTTTAAGTCTTCAATTATTTAGCAGTGTTAAGATATAGTTAACAATCATTTTGGAAATATAATGCGATCTTCAATTTACTGGGTAGCTATTCAGAGAGAATAAGGAAAGTGCTTCCAAGTTTGTGGAAAAAATAACGTGTATGCTTGCTTCTATGCCCACGGAAGATCTTTCAGCAGCTTTTGATTCCTTCTAAGGGCAAAAGTAGTGCTTGGGTTATGCCTATGTTTAATTCATTTGCAGGGGTAAAAAAAAACACACCCAACCATCTCCAGATAAGTCTCCTGATGGTCTTTCAAACTTGACTGTTTGTTTTAAGGTAGCTGAAACAGAAACATATTGTGTGTAATTAGACAGCACTGGCATTTATGTTTTTACTTTTCTCCTCCTTCCATGAAAATTATACAGTACCTTAATTGTCACATCCTGAATTATTAAAGGAAATCAACATTTAAGACAGATTAGAGGTTGCATAAATTAAAGTGAACTGTGTTGCAATTTTTTTGAGGGGGTGTTAGATTGTTATACATGCAGGTTTTCAAATTCAGGGTGGGAAAGAATCATAGACCTATATTCCTTTCATCAAACTGTTAAGTATGGCCCCCACTGGCAAAAGGTTACATTAATTCCAGAATAACTAAAGATTGGGTATTTATCACTTTGATAGGACAGAGTGGTTCTATCAATTGAAATAAATAGGGGCTCCATGGGCAAAGATCTATGTGCCTGGAGAAAGCTCACCCACACAGATCTCTTGATCATATCTACCTCTTGCATTTATATCTCGGCTTTCCTTTCAGAGCTCTGAGTGGAAAGAGTACAACCTTTACTTTATCTCACAACAGAACCCTGCATAGTCTAGTTTGAAATACAGTAACTGGAACAAAGTCACCAGTAAGTGCCATAATCAAACAGGACTCAAACCTGGTATAAAAGCTAGCTGTGGTCATGCAGCAGAGTTCTTATTGTGTTACATTATTTTCAGAATATAAGGGTTCTGATTTGTTTTTAGTGTCTACACGTTTATAAGTATCTCCAAGAAATTAACAATAAATACAAATGTCTTTTGATGTGTATTGCAGTTTTGGACACAATACTAATAAAAGAAAGTCTCACTATATAATTGCCATTATGACTGGGGTTAAAGGTTTCTCAATTTCCCTATGTAGAGAATATGCTAAAGAATGTACAAATAGTCCCATTTGGAGAGAGGAATGTCACTTTTATTAATAAATTCTTGGGGAGATGATCCCTGGAGAAAACTACATTCTTGCAAAACTATGTTCAAACACAGTAAGAAATGCAAAATGAAAATACAGCATCAGGGAAAGGTCTATTAGAACTTGGGACTTCAGTGTGGCATCTACAGTTTAAGGCTTTGAAGACAAAATGAAAGATGAATAATCATTGCTCATCAGGAGGCTGGAGTGATGAGAAGGCTACTAGTACACAGCACTCCTTAGACACCTTCTAGTACAGGACTGATTATGGTGGGTGACCCAGAAGTAATTATTTTTAAAAAGAACAGTTAAAACCAAAGGGATAACTGGCTGTACCAATTCCATTCATCTACGTTCAAGTCCCACAGTCTGTCTCTTCTTACAAACTCACGTCTCATTTTTAACTTCATTGTCAAGTGCTTATTCATTTGCCTGGTGCATAATCCAGGAATTAGTGCACACAAGAAAAAGCAGAGTTTAAAAAAATCCAATAACAGACATACATGTAAGTGCATGTAACACACACTCATACTTGTGACCTAATGTTCTGTTGCTACCTGACCTGGAGATAAAGTGAATACACTTGGCTAACTTGAAGCTTATCCAAATGATCCATCACTGGCAAGCACTACCTTAGAAGACTTCTAGTTCCATTTATCAAATACATTTTGTCATACAAATTGTGCTTGTGGTGGTAATATGTATCTACTTATATGTGTCAACCTGTTCTATAGAGGCCATCTTCTTCACCGTTTCCTCATCCTGGTCTGGGTATTTCTTTCACTGTTCTTCTTTGTCTCTAGTTTGGGGCAGAACAGTTTTGGCAAGTGAGATGATGAGTCTTGGAGTTCAGACCCAGACTGCTGTGTTAAAATCAAACCCCGACTGAGTCTGTTCTATTGTGGTGTGGATCTTCTTGGCACAGGGTTTGGGCTTGGCTTTCCTTCCTTCCTTCTTCTGGCACCTGTCGGCTTTGTCTTGAGAGTCTGGTGTGCTCCCATGAACTGGGAAGTAAAATAGCCCCTTCTGTTTGTTGACTGTTTTGGGCCTTTTTAAGATCTCAGTCTCTTTGTCCTTTGTGGGCAGCCAGCAGGGCTTCTCTTTTAGCAATCTGTCTCGATCTGGCCGGACACTCCTTAAAAATTTCTTGAAGAGATTGGCTGTGAGAGAAAATTTCCTATAGATTTCTTGGGACTTGCTGCTTGGCCGAGATGCTTCATTCTTTTCTGCTTTTCTGTCTATCTCGGGCAAATCCAGCCAGTTCCCAACTAGATCAGCAAAGATGTTATCACCCAGAACCAAAGGCTGTCTGTTCCTACTTTGAGACATTAATGAGGAAGTCCAGTCTTTGTTCTCATCAGCAAACCAACAATCCTTACAAACTGACTTATTCTCAGATAAGCTGCTAGTATCTTGAGAAAGCCAACTGCTAGTTGTGTTGTCACTAGATGACTCCAGCATTCTTGGTGAATGATAATCTGTTGTGCTCATAGTTGAAGAAGGTCCACTGTCATCCTCACTGCCTATGCTGTTCAGGGATGAAGCTATGTGCCCATGACTACTGTCTGGCAAAGAAATATGGTAATATGAGCTGGTAGAGTGTGACACAGGAGCTGAGCATAAAAAGGCTGAAGATCTGCAATTGTCCAAATAACGTTTTCCCAGCAAGGTCTCACTCTCTTTGCTGGCATCATGCTTTGCCTTTGGCATCTCCTTACTGTTTTGACAATACTGATGCTGGCCAATTCCTGAAACTTGGTTTGGGTTACTTGAAATCTCCAGCTGTTCCAAAGCTGTCTGGACCTGGAGCAGTTTCAGTTCTTGCAGAGCACCCATCATGCAGTTCATCTGTTCATGCAGCCCGTCCCCAACCTCCTTCATGGATAACTGTTGTAAAAAAAAAAGACAGAGAATAAAAGGCAGAGTTTACTAACATATGCAACTGAAATATTTGTGAAATATACATGAAATATATGTGAACATAACTGAAATCCACTGTTATCTACTTGTGCACGTTACATTTACCATAATATTTTCCATTACATTCAACTTTCTTCCTGGTTTTTAAAAGAATGTATAGCTGTAAAGTTCTCACATTATATACTTCTGGTTATTATTATTTTTAGCTGCTCATAATAGATAATAAGTAACATTTTTTGGGAGAATTTGATTTGATTTCATTAATTGATTGCATCAATTTTAGTCTTGTCTTTTACCATGCTTTTTATTATACAATAAAACAAAGTATGTTAAATAATAAGCACATACCACATTCTATTCCTTTATTTTCTCAGAACATGATATATATATTTAATCAAACATCAAGAAACCTTTTAAGAAATTACTCCTATTATCATGTGAAATTTGATTATTTCTTATCAACAAGAGATTGTTAAACTTGTCTTAGTTCTCATGAACCATAAATATAATAGCAAATCCATCTATGGACTCTACCACTTCAGAGTTCAAGAATCACCTCCATACTCCCCCACAAAAAACAAGAATCATTCCATGAATTTTGTACATAGAAAGCAAGAATATGGGGGAAGGCTAGTGGGAATCTTTCTCTCCAATGTCAGCAAGGAATACATTTGTAATGTAAATAACTGAATAACACAGCCTGAGCCTGAATGATGTAGTATATATATATATAACTGTATTTTATCTGCTTTATCAGAAAAAGTACCTTCTCATCAATTCAGGACAAGAAATGTACAATCAAATTGAAAATCGTAATAGTGACTTAACTTAAAAATGAATACAAATGCATTAATTAAAACAACACAACGGGGTTGTTTTTGTTTCAGGTTACAGTATTATTGGCAACATGTCTTTTTGTAACCTAAATAGCATGTTCAGCATGCCAGCTCTTCCCAACTTTTAAATGCTCCACTTTGTTCTTTCTCTTCTGAAGGAACCAGATCTCCTTCCCAAAGCAGCTTCACAAAACAAATTGGGCATACTGTACTTCCTAGCAGCTGTCATTACTCACTCTTTTCTCTCTCATTTCTACAACCGAAGGGAAAGGTGGCATTGTTGGATGTTCTGGCATTTTCAGACAGGTTTATAAAGACACTGAAAAAAACCATTGGCAACCTTAATCTGCATTTTGGTCAAGCTCACTGCAATCTCTTCTGCAAACTTCTGTGGAGTGCTGTTGTAATGCAGCTATACATTTAACACCTGTATGCATGGATTGCAATTATACCTCCAGGCATCATCTCCCTTCATGTTACTAAGTATGTTCTGCAATTTCCATGTCCTTGGGAGCAGAATCTCACTGGCATTGTTTTTCAGGAACCTATGGTTGTATGACCCTGCAGCTATTCCCAACTACATAAGAAGTTTCAAATCTGGATTCAGAAACAGCTGAAGTAGAAGCAAAAATCCACCCTGCCTGACAGAATGTATATATAGCTGCTGAGCACACTCCCTAAATTCAGGTTCCATTTTGAAATTCTCTCTTTAGCCATTTTACAGCTAAATCCAAAGTTCAAATCAATCAACCTTCTGCACAAGCCACAGCCATCTTCTTATTATAGAACAGCTATTATGTTACTCGCATGCAGAACCTCCTGGGGGGCCATCTGTTCTCTAAGCCTCAGAGAAAACTATCACCTTACCTCTTTCCCAGATTTGCAGTACTGCCTCTCTTCCTAATCTTTTCTGCCTTGTAAGTGGAACCCCCCACGCTTTTTATCTGAAGCTTTGCAAAACTGACTTTGGAAACAGCTTGGATGCCCTCATTGGACACTTCCCATCAAATCCCCTTGCAGGCCAAGTGGTGTAATCAAGCCATGATGAGTGACAAAGGATCCTGCAGTAATGACTGTGGCTGATAGGAAAGTCAGCATATGCTGGATGGCTGGGCTGTGCAGTTCATTGATTCAATTAACTCCCCCTTTTGGGGGAAAGGAGGGAGCATCCTCCTAAACCAGGTCTCATGTGACAAGGAGCCATTAGGAATTATTAATATTTCATTCTCTGCTTCTACTGAGAGAGAGAACTGGAAGAAACACAAGACCAAGAGTCTTCCCCAGAGGCTAAGATTCACACTCTTACCATCATGGCCTGAACTTCATTCCCAGCTACAGATAAAATTTGCCTCCAGATTTTATGCCTGGCATATTCACATGAATTATCTTAAGCAGCAGAGCTACAAATTGGGTTTCTCTTCATAACAATCCTGTGAAGTGTGTTAGGCTAAGAGAGAATAAATAGCCCATAGTTATCTAGTAATCTTAACAGACGCCTGGGGATCTGAACTTGGGCCTCCCCAGTCCTAGTCCCACACTCTTATCTACTCTACCACACCGGAAAGATCCTTTTATTGGAAGCCTTACAAACAGTGGGGTGGGGGGTGGAATAGTATTAGATTATTATTAGGCAACAATGGCATTTCCAGGTGAAACTGTATCCCATGAAAGCCCACATTTTGCTTCCACCACTTTTTTTAATTTCCAATTCACTGCTCTAAGACAGGAACAATTCTCCTCTTATCCAGGGAGGACTGGAGAATGGCAGGCCTTTGGATCCAAAGTTCCCTAAACTGCTCCAAGGTATCCTGACACACTTCTTTTCAATCCTCCCATCAGTGACATGACAGCAGTGAGGTTTTCAATGGTGGAACCCCTCTTTCAATTATGGAGAGTGAAGTACATACTGTGATCCAACAGAAGCCACCCAGGGCCACAGAACTATGCCAAAAGTATGCTGTGAACACTTGCTTATTCTTACACATATTAAGTGCTGGCAACTGCACATAAATTAAACATAAGGCAGTAAATTCAACTATTCTTGCAAGAAAGCTTTAAAAATCTAATGGAAGTCAGAGAAGACTATAATTTAGCAAAGGATGTAAGACCATGATGAGACAAATGTCAGTAATAAAAGTGCCCTGTAAAGATTCAGCCTGGTTGGCAAAATATACTGCTATATCACAAATCTTGCTAATGGACACAGGCATCTAGTATAAGCCACAATAATGTCATCGGCATCATGATACTTATGCAAATGACAGAAATTATGTAATGATATCATTTGTCCCCATCTGACCCTCTGCAGACATCCAAGCTAATGACTTATTTGGTACCTAATACCATCCTATGTGCATTTTCTTAGAAGTAAATTAATTCAATAGTACTTACTCCCACATAGAAGCATAGAAACAGTCTTGCAGCACAATATTAACTATGCTTTCTTAGAAGCAAGTCCCTCTAATGGGTCTTACTTTCCAAAGTAGACTTTCTCAGTCTACACTATTGCTGGCATAAGCTCTATTATCAGGAGTGGATGAGTGTTTAAGCAAAAGCATTCGGAAGGCCCAAGATTGTTCTAGGGTACGTATGTTTAGTGTTGTTGCCTTAGTCTAGGGCTATTATATCTACAATTACAGAAAACTCAATTTTGTTGCTGCCATCTAGCAGTTACCTTGATTTTTGCAGCCTAGATTTTTTTATTAGTGAAATTTAACAGATAAAAATGAAACAACAGTGATACAGTACACACACATGCACACATATATATTTTAAACTAAAATTTTTCATCCTACTTCATCAACATTTCATATGGATTCTCTTTGTATATACTGATTGTATTTCAATATTTTTAGAAAACAGAATGGACATGATGCTTCTAGTGGTGCTGTTAGCAAAAGTTACGTAAAGGGTTGTTACATAATCCATGCTGCAGCTGGATGTCTGACGTTACCAGATCTTGGTGTTTCATTTATAAGAGGATTGTGCTGTGAAGTCAGTTAAAACAACACAGTAAGTTGTAAGGAACCTGAAAACAACAGCCAAATTAAAACACATTTTGTTCTTAGAGGCAGTTAAAAAAGATTAACAATTCCTCATGGTTTATACAACCTGAAGAGAAATCAGAATATATGGTGCATTATATAGAAACTTCTATAGGGTTACTGAACTCCAGCATTCAGTTTCAGTTTTGGAAGGACCTGTGGACAAATTGTCATTACTAGGCAGTTCTCCTTGAGATAATCAGTCCTCCTGATTTCTATTTGCTTCTCCCCATGGACCTCATCCCCATCACCTCATAGAGATGTATTCAGATGCTAATGTGTAGATAGTTGGCCACTGTCATATGTGCCTTGGTGATCCACATTTGTGCACTTCAGTACACCAGTCTTTGAATACTGTGCCTTTATATTATCTCATTATCTGTGGTTTCCGAATGATTTTTGAACCTATTGCTTTTGAGCAGCAAAGTTCTAAAAAAGAGTGGGATTGAAGGGATAAGGCACACAGGTCAACTGGTCAATATTGTTCCCAATACTGTACTTTACTTTCTAAGTTAGAGCCAATGTTGCTAATTTTGTCTATACCAATAAATGAACATATGTAAATATCATGCAAATCTATTTTTGCCTTCTTTGATAACACATTTTGTCTTCTTTCAGTATGTAAAAATTGTTACCTTTTTAATACACTTCCTGCTTTTCTGTTTTAAATACATTTTATTTTCAGGTAAAGAAATCACCCAATTTTACTTGTTCGTTCTATCTTCTTTTGGTTTAATTGAGATCCCAGTTTAAGGGCACACAAATATGGAAAGCTACTTTTGAACAACAACAAACCTATAATACAGACTTTAGGCCAGAAAACAATACATAGAAACATACACACCTCCAATTATTGTTAAGACTAAAAAGTAACTGCAAAATATAATAAATGTATGTAACAATAAATTAATATAATAACAATAATCCAAACATGAGTGGTAGTCACCAAGATCAGTGCTAATCTTCAGTTATAGGTGCGACAAATAGAACAAATACTGACACAAAATCAAGCAACTTGAACAGATACATCAGACACCTGGTTGGATAGAAGAAGTGACAGATAAACACTGTGTTCTCTACCAGGGTAGTTTTTTAAAGTGGGATAGATGAATGTCTTCTGAGATTCCCTGTAAAGAGGGCCATAAAAGAGCATGTAGCTTAGGGACTCCACTGAGCCATCCCCACATGGGCATATACAATGCTGAAGAGGAATGTTTTTATTGTCAGGTTCGGTCAGCACGAGGCTTCAGGGAAGCACGGGGC